AAATCAGATCACCTAGACGATCGCAGCAAGGTGAAGATGTTCCAACTCCAGCGATCAATCTCGCCATCTCTTTCTGGAGGCAGCTCTCTCGACGCCACCGCTATGAGCGCTCTCAGCAATGCTCTGCCGTTTGTCTGCTGCACCAGCTGAGCAGAATTCCTAGACTCAGAGGGGCAAAGCTCCCCGCCCAGCCGTCGAAATGTTGTCGATTGCTAACACCTCGACGTGCTCGGCAGCGTTGATCTGATGTGTAGCGCAGCTAGGCACGACGATGTGGCCTAGCTCGATGAGGCGCTGTTCCTCCAGCTCATCTTCCACTGGATCGATGTCCATATCTGACTCCGAATCCGAGCCCAAATGACGCTGCCGATCCTGCTGGTCTGTGGCCGAAATACCTTTCGACTGCGATTTCTTGAGGTCTGAGAGAGCACCTTTGGAGGCTAAAGCCCAGACATTGACAGTCGGCAAAAGCAGAGAGCCGTGGCGGAGAGGAATCAGTGCTAGCTCGAACTCGTGTGCCGGGGCAGCTCCGGTGCCTTGCACGTCCGAGGTGCTAACTTCGAAAGCATGTCGTTTGGCGCCGCTAGCGAGCCAAGAGTCGAAGTCTGCAGCAACGTCGTACATGAGTCGCTGACTTTGACCTTTTCCAGCTAAAGCTGCTCGGCCGTGACTTGTAGGAGCAGGCGAAGGACTCCTAGAAGGCGCTTGAGTACCGCCGATCCCGACGGTGAGATCAGAGCCTGCCTCTGATCGAGCATCTTGAAATTCGTCGACTTGAAGCGTTTCAGCAGAAGCCTTGGCGTCCGCCGCGTCGACGCCCCAAGAGAAGGATGTGGAGATTGTTAATGTCGCCTTGATCGGCTGTCCGACGTAGTATGGTCCTTCATCCGTCACCTTTATGGAGACCGCGTTGACGATGTCCACCTGAGGCACATCTACGGGTATGGAAAGCAGCCTCCATGGCAAAGCTGCAGCGCTTTCTGAAGAAGCGTCGGTCGGTCCGCATTCCAGCGCCTTTTGCAAAGTACTCTCCACCACCTTCACGACAAAGTCCGCCTCCTTGCTCGAGCTATCGATGCCCCATCTTTCTGCGGCTTTGCGCCAAATGTCTGCGTCAAAAAGTCCCGCTCGTATTTGGCCAGTCAAGGAATACACGGCCACGTCAAGGCCCAAGTCCACCAATCGGCACATAGCGAGCTCCAGTGACCTCTTGTGGCCTTCGCTGAGTAATGAAGGCCCGTCGGCTGCCGTTCCAAGCACTTGTTCAAGGAGCCGAATCAAGAGACGCTGCGCTTCTTCTTGGATGCTGCGATATCGAAGCATCAAACGCAACTTCGTCGGGGCGCCTTTGTGGGCTGAGCCACCTTTTGTGGCAGTATTCTTCTTGATAGAGAAAACGTAGCTAGCAGGCTGACGGGAGTCAAGGAGAACTGGAGCAGACGAAGGAGGTCTCTCGATGACGTGCTTCTGTTCAGACCCCTTGCGTTCGCCAATCTGTCCCTTTTGCTTCCCATCGTCCTCATCTACCGCGTGGATGAGGTCCACCTTGCCCAGTCTCAAATTGGAGTTGGTGCCAGCAGTGATGGAGAATTTAGAGTACAGCCTATCTGATCGAAAGTAGTCTTGCACGTTGACACCGAGAGGCAAGGCCACACTGAGAGCGACTTCTTTTCGAAACTGGCGTCTAGACTGAGGCCGCTGACTTTTCGCAGACCAGTAGTCTATAGATAGGGCGACGTGCAGGGTGCCAGCGGTAGCGGCAGACGTCTCGTATAGCGGAAAGCGAAGTCGGTGCGTTGTTCTGGATGACAGGCTGCTGACGTGTACTGTGCCGTCCTCTGACGCTTCCAATTTAGGCGTCTCAGAGCGACTAATTGCACGAGCACTCTCATCGATAAAATGGCCCTCCGAGACACCAACCAGTACCCTCGCATTTGCGCTCATACCAGCAGCTCTGCCGACCGGGCTTAAAGCGAGTCGCAGCTCGGCTCTCGAGACTTGATTCCTGCCAGTGTTGATTTCCAGAATAGCATGCCTTTGCTCGTCTATGCGTATAGTGTCAGGCATGACCAGCTTCGCGTCCAGAGCTTCTCCGTCTTCAGGTACGCCGACGATCACCACGCCCGGCCACGTACGAGGGGCAGTGTACTGAAAGATGATCTTGGCAATCCTGACCTGGCAGACGTCAACAATATACTTCCCAGGGGCTGAAGAGGGACACGATAGCTTGACGTGGTTGTGACCTTTCTCCAACATTCTCGATCCGCTTGTAAACCACAGCATCTCCCTCTCGCCGCTGGTCAAGCATACTCGGATATCGTCGACTTCCACCTGAGTGCCTGTCGCAGAAGTGACTCGGACAGAAAGTTGCGATCCATCTTGGCCTGGAATATGAGAGGCCCAGGTGGCGTTGACCTTGACGACGAGCGGCGAGAAATGACTGACAGGGAGCTCTTGCTCAAAGGGCGTCGTGCGCAGCTCAGCAAAGAGCGCGCGTTCGTCGTCCCAGGCAATACCGCTCGCCACGTTGACCGCAGATCTGCTCGAGATGGGCAGAGAGGCGCCTTTCGCTCGCTCGTCCGCCAGCCTCTTGAGCAGTGCAACGACGACGTTGACCCAGGCTTTGTCTCGCGGCATTTCGAGGTGGGCATGGGCCGCGAGTTGCTTGGCTAGCATGTGCGCTTCGATAGGAGTCCTCTCGACTGCATGAGCATCTGCGAGTTTTCCGAATGCGACGTAGGCTTCGCTGTACTTTTCCCGATAGCTGCGTGAGACCGGCAAGGTCAGCGCTGTTCAATGATCACAATTTCCGCCTGATACAACGCTCACTATTGTAGACTTGCAAGACTTGCTTGCATCGAAAGCACCCTTTTGGGCATGCACGCGTTGCTCCAGCACGCTGCAGTCCTCTCCGTCAAGGAGATGAGGTGGTCGTCGAAGAGCTGACGGTCCTCGATAGCCTGGAGGAGCTCGTCTCTGGTTATTCGCTGATCTTTCGCATAGGCATCGTCTGGTAGCGCAGGCAAGTCTCTGTCCTTTGGCGCTGCAGTAGACGCATAGTCAGGCAGCGAGGCGAGGAATGGCAGAGCCCTAGGCAGGTGGCCCACGTGCATACCAATGATGTCCAACTGTCTTCTGGCCAGATCCAACAACTGCGCTTTTGCTGCATGGAACGCCGCAGAGAGCTGCGACTCGATGTGGCGCTGCCTTGCGAGCATTGCGCTCTTCCTAGCGTCCGAGTCCTCGTCCCCTAAGTACTTGAGATTGACCTCGTCAGACATGCCAGGTGCAGCAATATCTCCCCGCTCTACCAGCCATGCCTGACACTGCTCCACCACATCTATGGATGAGCTGAATGTCCACGACTCGACAAAGTGACGTGGAAGGAGCTGCATGGCGTGTGTGCTCCTGCATCAGCTGAAGGGCGAGGTCGGGCGGCGCAGACCATCTCAATGCGCATACATGCTACTCACTTCTCCAGCACTGAGCATCCTCCCAACATTCTCCACGAAGCCAGGCGTCTCGTGCATCACTTGCGCAACTCTGCCCAGCTTGCCTAACAGCGCGGCCCTTCGCGCGAAGATGTAGCATCGGAAATCAAACAAGCTGATCTCGCTCCTGCGAATCAAGTCGTAGTATGGCTTCTTCCTTGTGTCAAGCAGAGGTGCGCTATCGTCTCCGCTGGTGATAGCCCCCATGGATCTGAAGTGCTGCGTAGCGCCGGTCGCTAAGCACTGCTCGAATGCAGCATCTACTTCGTCGTACCGACTGAGTGCTTCTTTGTGAAGCCCAACAGCTTCAAAGGTGTTCGCCAAGCATCCCACGCTGCTTACCCATTTGCAGATGTTCCAACCAGGAAAGTCCCTGTGCCTCAACTCCCTCCTGCACTCTTCCTCTTGCAGCGACACTAGTCGGTCGAATGTCGCGCTAGCTGAATCTTTGAGTCGCATCAAAAGGTCTGCAAAGAGTGTAGGGTCGGCATGGTATCCGCCGCTGGGAGTATTTGCTGGCTGTTGCGGCGGCAGTCGCGTGAGCTGGACAACCCTAAATCGTATCAGAAGAGAATTCGGTGTCAGTCGGGCGTCGGACAGAGAGTGACGTTGGGCTCCACTGTGCTCCCTGCTGCTTCCGCGGCGTCTGGCAGCGGGATCTGCTGAACGGCATTCGCATGGGTCCGGACGAGGGCTCGCTCACCCAGCGCCTAGCCCGACCAATCCAGAAGCCACTCACCGCTCTCGCTTGCCAGAGTTGAAGTCCGCTCTGATCTTCTCGATCACGTTGCTTCTACTCGCAGCGCTGCTCCCACCAAACACTCTGCCGAGTCCCGTCTTCTTCTCGGGTTCGGAACCAGGTGCTGGGGACGCTCCTCTGCCCAACGACCCAGCAGCTGTTGCGAGTGCTGCCGCTTGTGCACTACCCAGATCTGGAGAGAGCAGAACGATGAGGTAATCTGGTCCAGCTGCACTGCTCGCATCATCTTCGAGGTTGGATGAACCCTTTGTGCTATCGTGTACTGAGGATCTGGGCGTGCCGGGCCTGGATGAAGGTGCGTTCGCACTTGGTGTAGCGTCTGCTGGGTGCACGGGAAGATGACCAAGGGAGCTGATCCAGCTTCTGATATCGTTGCGGATGCTGTTACGGTACGCCTCATTGTCGTCACATGCCACAAAGTAGAGGTGGCTGAAGGGCCGCTCGAGCAGACTTTGGCTCACAGCATATCGCAGCTCGGGATTGTTTCGCACACGTTGCAGCGCCGTTGAGAGGGGATCGAGGTCTACTGGCAGTGATTGAATGGTGCGGATGCCAGATGAGGAGGATTGGGGCAGACTGCTACTACTGCCGGTCAGCGGAGTGGTGCTGGTCACGGGCGTGGCATCTCCGGCACCAGGCACGCTCAGAGTAATGTTCGACCCGCTTTGCACCGGAATCGTAGGCTTCCAGTGCAAATTGCGAAGGGGCAGCTGTGAGCTGAGAACAGAGATGATGTTCTGCAGAAAGTCTGAGTTGACTAAAGGGTAAGAGGCAGAGTATGTCACCGTGACCCGTGGGGCAGCTCCCGAGGAAATATTCTCGGCTCGCGAGGTGGAAGCGGACATCGCGGCCTGGCGAACCGCACGATTGGCGATGAGTCGAGAGTATGCTGCGGTAAGGCAAGACCCAGCAAGGATCTGGTGATCGCAAGCTTGGGTGGATGATTTTCTCTCGATTGAAAGTTGCTGCAGTAGTCTAGGTGATGCAATGACCGGGGAGGTGAAGAGTGGTCATGCACCTCGTTGAGGCCTGCATCAGGAGGCCGGTCCATCGTGTGTGCGCCGATGGAGTTCCCCGCGCCGCTACGTGCAATCACGTGAAAGGCGCATCGGGCATTCTTCGTTTGCAGAGCGCGGAGAACACCGCTTTTGCCGAGCATCCTTGCCGCGCGAGGAAGCGAAGTCAAGAATTAACTCGTGCCGGGACACTTTGTCTTCTCGGTGCTTGCTCACTTCTGCGAGCTGGCAAGATCTATGCATTACTTTTCTGCTGGGCTTCCAGATGTGTAGGAGAGGTGCTTCAATACACTTTGAGAGACGAAGTCATCAGAGACCGACAGGCTAAGAAGAAGCGGCTGGACGGTCATAGCAGAGGACGCAGCAGGCAGAGTCCGCCAAGCGTGGAGCAGCAGGGAGAGAAACAGGCAATGTGGATACTTCGACGCAAAGGTCATTGGTGCCATAGACGAGAGTCGCCTGCGAGATCATTGTATCTAGGTAGGCTTCCATCCGACACTTCCTCTCCGTTATTACTGAGTTACTTGATCGGCCAGATCTCTGCAAAGCAGTCTCTGACATCCTCCACGAATACAGCAGGCCTCTCCATGGCTGCGAGAGAAGGGAGTATGGATGAGTGACTATGCTAGCTGAAGGCAGCCAGAGCAGACCCGGACACGTACCGAAGAAGTGTCCGCCCTGCTCGTGTTTCCTATACCAAGCAAAGTTGTGGACAGTCGAGCGAATCCACTCTTTGGGAGCCGGCATGATCTCGTATGGGTTGTCTGTGTATCCAAATGGACAAGGGATCCGATTCTCTGGCCTCGAAATGACGCCTGAGATGACCGGACGACACAGGGTCAAATCGTATTCAGAGTGTATCAGAAGATGGAAATCTTTGAGTTCGACTTACCTTGAAGGCCCGAGGCGGGTCGATTGCGATACGGGTACAGCGACCTCGCCATGGTATCTGTGCACCACCAAAGCGTCAGACTGGCCAAGATCTCCGAGTCCGGTGGGCTGTTGAACAGCCAAGCATTGCTCGCGTCAGCTTGAATGATCAAATACGCCGCTCCGCACCTCGCCGACCTACTCTTGATCGGTCCACTGCAGGAACTTTTCCCCGATCCACGCCAGCAAAGCAACGGGGCTGTGAGGCAGAATGGGCCCCCTAAGTCAGTCTCTCATAGTCATATACAGGTGCTAGTGTCCACCTTTCATCTTACCTGGACTCTGTTACGATAGCTAGCGTGCCCGGTCTTGTGCCGTGGAATGCTGCATACGCGCTTCCAGTCGTCTGGAATTCGATAGCTCTAGCAAGTCTGATGGATTCGTCCTTGTCGAGCATCGATGGGAATCCGAGCGCCATCTTGGCCAATCTGTGGGCGACGCCATGCACTGTGAAGAAGCCCGGTTGTTTCGCGTAGAAACTCCTCGGTAGGGTCCTCGGCATTTCCGCGACGCTTTCGACAAGAAATTTGACGCTGTTTGGAGTGAAGTAGCTGACTATGCCTCTGATCGAACGCGGGACTAAATGACACAGCGAAAACAACGGAGGCGCAAGTCGAGGTGGCGGAGCTGGACAGAAGTTGAGGTGGACCGCTTTGCATCTGTTGGGGAACTGAATAGCCATGAAGCGAGCGACTGCATTTGACCAGTCTCCAGCTTGCGCAGCGTAGTACGGAAACCCAAGAGTGCGCATGAGTGCATCCATCAAGGTCGCTTCGTCTAAACCATCACGAAAGGTTAGGAGAAACGTCAGGCAAGTTTTGCAGAAGTAGCTTCTAAATCTGTAGCCTCTTACCTCTGACCAACAGATCGCCCTGTGAGCCGCTCCACTCTCCTTGAACCGGTTCACTGCCACTCCGAGACTCGAGCGCAGCATTGGAGCTCCATGCGTAGCCGGTGTGCGAAGGGACAACCACGTCGAAGGCTGGTACGTCGTTCGGCGCGCTGGGACCAGGATGCTGGCGGGCCAAAACGCCAGATCAGCAAAGCGACGTGCGCATACAGCCACGATACTTGCTCTCGATCGACTCACAGCTAGAGGCTTGATGGTATCCAAGAACTCCAGAAAGCTTCCAGGCCACCCATGGAGAAGCAAAAGGGGAATGACACGCCTTCCAGACCTACGCGCCTCTTCGTAGTCTGGCTTCTCGCGTATAAAGTGCAAATGGACATTATTGACTGTGATCCGATGGCAAAGTACAGGGAAGGTGAGCGGCGGAGATTAGGACGCCAGAGAGGTGTCGTCGATTGCGCTGACTCCATCCAACAGAGTGTCTGCTTTGTGCACTCACCATGCACTTTGAAGTGCTCAAAGCTTCTCAATCTCGCCTCCTGAGCTGCCCAAGTATCATGATCTGCACCCAGTCTCTTCTTTGACTTTCCGTGAGCGCTTCCATTAAGACTCTGGACGCTGCGAGGCGCCAGATCAGAGGCGACTGGATTGTCAATGCTCCCTCCCTCTGCGCTCTTGAGGGAAGTTGATGCGGACGGGTGTGGTCCTGAGTCGGATGCGGCAGAGGTTGCTTGAGGCTCAAGATACGCCGACCAAGACTCGAGCAGGGACCGAAAGCGCTCGTACGTCAAACCTGCAGATACCGTCGCGCATCAGCATTGGCTTGCTGAGGACGCGGCCTGCTCCACCCTCCCAGACACTCACCAAATCTCTCTTTGTCCGCCTCAAAGGGACTACTGGGGCCTTCTCGCACTTGCTGCTCGTCCACCGCAGCATCCACTTTGGTGCGCAGGTCTTTCAGGCGCACCTCATCCAGGACAGGCTCGAAGGCGATCGCTTCGCCCCTTTGCACTAAATCGCACCTTGGAACTTCAGGCCTCTGGCCCATCTCATCCCAGAAATGAGTGCCGTCCAAGCTTCTTTCCAGGTACGCTGGGGCGGCCTGCGTTGGGTCGGATCCAAGTGAGAGTGCACGAGGAAGAGCAGAAATGCTGTGCGCTGCGCAGAGTTCAGACACCCATCTCGCAGCGTGCGGTATGCTCGGCGGGGAAAGTGTGAGTACGAGGAACCACCAGTCGTACACGTTCGTGTCGGTCACAATCCACCTTTTGCCGAGCAGATTGCTCCTTTGCGCTGTGGCAGAGGATTTCGGCGCATCGCTGGGTCTTGGGCTGCTGCTGCTGGAGGAGGCACGCGCTGGCAAAGCCTCAAAGACGCCCACGATCGCTCTGGCTACGTCCTTGCCGTGGATGAGGTGCAAGCTGCCCTTGTCTCTAAGCTTGTCTTGACTGGTGGCGACCTTCTTCGCAAAGTTGGCCGGCTGCCTGTCTGCACCATACAACCCAGCCAAGTTGAGCACAGTCATATTCCGTCCAATCTCTGGTCTGTGAAGCGCCAAGAAGCTCTCCTCGGCCGAAGCTCGAGCGTTTGACGTGTCGATGGGAGAAGTGGATGTGAAGTGGCCAACAGGTCCCCAGGCACCTGTGCTGCCCAGCAAGATCCAGTTTGCTGCTCCGTGCGAGAGCTCGTAGCCATCTATGAGATTGTGGACAGCTTCTCGAGATCGCAGTGGAAAGACGATGAGCACGACCTTGGCCTTGGGCAGAGAGTGCCAGAGCGATCTGGAAGCCTTCCCGTCAGAAGAGAGCTCGAAGTAAATGGAGCTGCCAGGAGGGGGAGGGGTGGCGCTAGTCGAAGTGGAGCGCTGACGCGAAGTGAAGGCGTACGTGATGCCTTCCAAGTTGAGAAGCGGCAGAAGGAACTGGCTGGTCCATCCTGAACCAAGCAGGAGAACATCGACAGGCTGCGAATGCCCAGCATGGGTTGGCGGTGAGGTGGTCATGATTTCGATCTCAACATGGGAGTCTTTTGCTGCACAACAGTTCCGGAGAGCGCTGCTTTTGGTGGGCATGAATGGCCGTGTAGTGCAGAAAGAGGTGAGAGTCCGAGGTGGGATTTCGGGCGAGAGTCACGAGTGCTGCTGGAAGGAGCGTGAAAGGGGATCACCGCATATATGCCCACGCAGCACTCAAAGTCATGCGCTGCTATGTGGGGCTTCGCAGCGCCCTGATACGGCCGCATCTCACGACTCCAGCTAGGTGGAGGCATGGCAACAGATCACGTGATTAGCTGATCCTTCCGAAGTTGGAAGCACCCACACACCAGCCATGTGAATCCCCCTTCGTCTGCCAAACCAACACTTCGAGGCCATGGGGATAGTACATCACTAACGGAATCATCATTCAGTACTGAGGGTGCTCCGGCGTACGATGAATCGGCGCACGAAAATCGCGCAATGAGCGGCCAGTCGACGCGTGTCAAGTGTATCTCGCTCTCAAAGCTCATGATGCGTCGGAGTTCGCCTCACCCAGACATCTCCTCAAGCCGCGAGCGACTGCCCATCCCTTACTGTCCAGACAAAGAGGAGACCTGTCCCTCAGCCAAAGAAGCCGTCGAAAAGTGTCTGCTTGGATCGCTCCAGTCATACATCCCAGAGAGCATTGTGCACGAAACTTGGCGCAAAGAGGCTCTCGCTCATCTTCTCGACGGCGATCGAGGTGCTGCCTTGGCTCGAACAGGGTCGTCACAGGCCAGCGAGATCGAAGAAAGGCTGCCAGAAGACGATGGGCACGTATCCGACCCATATGAAGGTTCTGGATGCTCCTGTATTGCTAAGCCTGGAGGCTCATGCTGCACCGCCGACACCGACTGCGAATGTGTCGAGTCCTTTGGTGAGTCGACGGACTTCGCAGCGCCGCTGCTCTCACTTGCTGATTGCACAACCAGCTCGACTACGATAGGAAACTTCTACAGTGCCGCTAATGACCAGCTCAATGGCCTGGCGAGGATTGTGCATCTCGACGCATTGCCTGCGCGACACGCCTTGAGAGAGTGCACACCTCTCTGTGCTTGCCAGCAGGCTTCGCCTTCCATCAGATCGAAATGCATCAGCACACAGGACGCAGCTAGTACGGAAGACGAAGCGATATCCTCCCGTCGGCCTGAGGCTGTAGACCGAGCCAAAAGGCGGAAGCTGAAGTCTTTAGAAGTGGGGAGAGAATCAAAAAGCTACGAAGATGCACGACAGAGTAAGCGAGCGAGCATGCAATGTGCAAATCGAGTGGTCGGCTTTGGTCTTGCGTAAGTCTTCGATTCGGGTGTGGTGTCAGGCCATTCGTGAGCTGCTGATGCACAAGTGGCCCCATTACCGGGCCTTTAGTCGCCGGCTCTACATCCGCAGCACTGCTCCGAGACTTGGAATATCGCCGCATCGGTGCTCCAAGTCGGAGGGAGATGCCGCCATTTCAGCTGATCTGAATTCGGCTTGTCGGGGCCTTGGTCTATTCACCCACGATTTTATCCCGCGTGGCGCATTTGTCATCGAGTATGCCGGCGAGGTGATCAGCACGCAGGAAGCTCGGAAAAGATGGGTCAAGTACCAAAAGCCTTCGATGTACTCTTCGGAAAAAGGGTCCGATCCTGCCAGCTCCATCGCCATCTCACAATCCGACACTGGACCTAGGCCCAGTGTGAGCAACGAGGGAAGCAACTACATCCTTGTTCTGCAAGAGTGGATGAATGCAGGCACGCATACAGGCCATACTGGCTTCCCATCAACACCGGATCCTCTAAGTGGAACGCAAGCGACCTCGGCTCTAGCACCGAAAGCATACCGCACGAACATCGACCCAACGATTTCGGGCAATGCAGGTCGATTTGCAAATCACTCATGCGAGCCGAATCTCATCATGATTCCGGTACGGTGTGATGAGCCCATCAAGCTTTACGATGACACATCTGCCTCGAGCACTTGCGAGACGTATGCTGCGGCGGCTGCGCCGAGAGCGGCCCTCTTCGCGGCTAGGGACATACAACCGGACGATGAACTGACATTTGATTACTCAGGTGGAGAGCTGGCCCGGCTTGATGGCTCGCAAAGGCACGGCGAGGGTTTAAAACGAAATGTAGGTAGGAGTGGTGCCACGCCATGTCTTTGCGGTGCTCCATCGTGTAGAGGCTGGATGTACTTTGACCCTGCGCTGTAGTACAATGTATGCGCCCTCGCCGATGCGGTTGAGGGTGTTGCTCGTGATACCAACTCCGAGACTGCATAAGTGTCCATTTGTGAATCGTTGGGCCTACGGAAGGCAAATGTAGGGCGCATGGTGGGTCCATGATGATGCGCCCTCCGAGGGTGCTTCCAAGCAACTGGTCCTTCCTACCACGAAGGCTGATCGCTAATCTACCTCATCTTGCACATGTTGACGCCTTGCGTCGTGTTTGGAGTCGGCAGTGTCCCTCTCGTCGCGTCTTGAGTCGGTAGTGTCCCAGGTCAACCCTCGCAGTCTGGTCATTGAGGGGCCGTCGCCCTGACTACTCCTGTCCATCAGAGATGTCCCACCCCACTTATCCCGCACAGCGCAGTCATTGCAGCGCCCTGGTTGGCCAGCCTCGGGAGTCCAGGCTTCAGCCCGGAAAAGAGCCCTCATTCATGCCTCGGCGTTCAGCTCAGGTGCGGCCGCATCCGGCACACCCCCAGGTAGCGGCGCAGCATTCTCTTTGATCCACTCCTGCGAGGTGAAGAGAAGGTTCGGTAAGTCAAATGCACCGGCACAGCCGGCACGCCTTCTGGCCAACGTTTTGGCGAAGCATCGCAGAGTACACCGCTCTCCCTCTCACTTTGCGAGGAGCAACTCACCTCATCTTCCCATATTGGCCTGTTCACACCGCCGGCTGCAGAAGCCTTTGGTGCGCGTGCGATGTTGACGTTGATGATGCGCTGCAAGGAGCCTCGTAAGCTTGCGAGTTCGGCTTCTAAGTGATAGCAGCAGATACGAGCACTTACACCTTCCACTTCATTGAGATGCATGTTGTCTATAGCGTCCATTGCCTCCTCTACAGTCGAGAATGTGATGAAGCCGAACCCCCGATTGGCTCCCTCTGCACGAGGATGCGGGGTGGAGCAGAGCAGCGTCAGCGTTTCCTGCTTGACAGTCTTTGCCACGACTGCACCCGAGAAGTGGACGGCAGCGGAAAAAGTTGAGCTCACCTTGCTTTGGCGTCACGACGTCCACAATCTCCCCAAAAGGTGCAAAGTGTCGCAACAACACGGCGGGATCGCAGACCCCGCCTTCACCCAACCCGCCCACATAAATGGTCCGCTTCCGTTCCTGCTGCGAGGACATAATGTGCTGCTTTGATGCGCTGCTCAGGAGATGTGGATATTGGGAACGGTCGTTCAGGTGTGAGGTGACAATCGACGAGTGTGGAAGGCGGCGTCCGTGTGCTGTGGAGCGCCATTGAGTTAGTTGCCTTGGGAAGCAGCCTGCTGCGTGGCCACTTTGACGACTCAGGAAGACGCAGGAGCTAGCTAAGCTGCCTTTGCTTCTGGCTGCCGCGCGAAAAGCTTGGTGGGACGCGTCGCCTTTACGCATTCACGTGATTTGGCGCCGCGACGGGGTCGAGTTAAGAAGAGAGTTTAATCTTGATTAGAAGAGTCTGTTCTGGGTCAAAAGGAATCAGTCAAGTGTAGTAGTAGTAGTAGTGAAATGACGAGTATTCATGATCTTGAAGACTTATCACACGCGCATGCAAACATTCGTCCCACCTGTGTCGCTCAGACCCATGCGTAACACTCTTGACTCACTCACGACGACTGATATGCGGACATTCGGCATGCTATGAGACAGCCTCGCAAAAAAAAGCTTGCATTCTGTAGACTCGTCATTGCAGAGCGTCACGCGGAAGAGCGAAGGTCGACGTGCGCTACCTGCTTGAGCAAGACATTTAGAGGTCGCAGGCTCGGCCTGTGCTCCAGCCGCGGACGGCAGGCTATGACCCAACTCTAAAAGCTCAGAACTCTCGCAAGATCGCAGCTCATCGCTGCGAAACAACGCTATCCATGAGCTCTAGTTACCTCAGCAGCTCGGATGGTAGCTGATCTGTCCTTCCGCACCCGAGACGTCCGTTCGTCAGCGCTCAGCAAACCGCATGAAGCCACGCCCTCCGCTCCCCTCTGCTGTCGACTCGAGCATTGATGGCGGCAAAGTGGCAAGAGAGCCTGGTAAGGCTATCTGCTGCCTCCGACATGAGCAGCAGTCATCGCCCCGCAGTGGCGATGCGGTACCTCGCTAGCTTATAAGATGGAAGTTTCTCGCCACACCTTTGAAGTTGCATCCAACGTGAATCAACCTCTAGCTCCTTGGCCTAACCACGCCCCGTATACAGCCGGCCATCGACCTACGAAGATGTGTACAATGCTGTCCTTGCTGCGAAGGCGCAGCGCGAGACAAATACGCCCTTCGACAACCATCTGGGCGCCCACGATATATCCTGTGCCGAGCTGTAGCACCCCTCGAGTCAGATTGAACTCACTGACTTTCTGTACAACCTTGTCACCAGAGGCGAGCTCCGCCGAAGCACTTCTCGGAGTCGGAAGACTCTGAAGCGCCATTACTGGTGTTTCGCGGGAAGTCGCGGCCAGATGCGCAAAGCTAGTGGCAAAGTAGTGAGCTTAGCAGTCGCTGGCTGAGACAACGGGGTTGCACAAAGGCAGCCACGGCGCCGCCACTGCCCAGTGGCAAACGGCTTCGGGGTCCCTGAGAGATGGGATGGTTGGACGGGCGCTTGAAGCGCCCTGCAAATTTAAAAACTTCCCCATCTCGACCATTCTGCCGCTGGTGTCAAGACCTTCGCTGCTTTCCTCACACAAGACTCTTTTCTGGCTTCAGTCTGCACTTCGGCATCGATACTGCTTTGCTCTACAGCTTGGATGGGCGCAAGTTTCATCTGGCCTGATGGTGCTGCTACGGGACTGGGCTATGCCTGCTCTAGCCGTGTGTATGCTTCTCATCGCAGTGAGCGGCACGGTCAAAGCATCCCCCCCAGCATTCCCTGCCAGCCAGCTGAACATCGAGCTCGCACACGACGCAACGCACGGAGAGCTCAGAAGGTGGGACATCGAGGACATCAGACATGCTGCTCATCACTACTACGTGGATACTCTTCAACCTTTTGGCGAGAGTCACCATTTCAGGGAAAATCCACACACGTTTGAGGTGCGCATTGACTCCCTGCTCGCTCGCCAAAAGTACGCTCTCACAGTAGCTTCTTCTTTACCAAAGGTCATCCACCCTTTCCAATTCGACCCTCCGAACCGCCAAGCTGTCGTGCGCGGATACTACAAGACTGCGTATGGAGTTCGCATTCCGAATCATCTCAAAAGTGGGCGAGTAAGGTTGAAGAGCCTGACGCATGATGCGCGTGCGCTCGTGCACGCTGTCCCTTTAGCCCCCAATCAGAAGATTGTTTCGCACGGCTTCAGGTTTCGTACAGGCGAACGGGAAGCAGAGCCCTACCACGCGAACTCGTATCGTCCTACAACTCCTGGCCATGTCCACGTCAAGCCTCCAGCCAGGTTCACGCAGGCGCAACAACGAGAAGAAGCTTATCTCAGATCTTTTGGAGCTATTCAGCGCTACCATACAAACAGAGTTGGAGTTGAGAGTCCGCTCAGGGTGCACCACTATGAAGTGAGTGCACGAAATCATTGAACGCTTGTGAACCCTCTATTGCACCGTGGTACTGAGGCGGCCCACAATTGTTCTGCTCTGCAAGATGTTGGAGTCAGCCAAACCAGGCCCGGATGGCTACGAGACGGTCAAAGCTCTAGCCATCGATCAGACCAATAGACCTATTCGACCGACGTACGACCCTGGCACGATCGAGCACGACATCCCCTTGTCGACTAGCCATGTTCCTCGATCCCACACAGCCTACAGGGAAGCTGGGAGGGACGCGCCGTCTCTTTCGGAAGCCACTTCGGATGGCAAGTCGACTGTATCAAGCTCAGGAGGCAAGCAAGCAGCTGCTCCAACGAACCATTCAACAGCAGGCACCTCGAGTCTCGACCCTGCAGCGCCACCGTTCGTGCCATCATTTGCAGCGCGTCCCCCTCCTTCAACTTTGGCTGGGTCGATTTGGACGAAGCAGGCAGAGCTGCGCAAGCGCACATTGGGCAGGATAGCGGAGGGTTTAAAGTCTGCAGAAGCGGTTTCAGCACTGGCTCAGACCTCGGAACAGGCCAGCTCTGATGCTGCCTCGCACGGCGTCGCGGACATCGGCCGAGCTGCGGCGACAAAATTCCCTACCAGTCGCACATTTCTCTCGGGCAAGTCGGTAGGAAGGCCTCGTCTGACCCCAGAAGGCGTTAAGATGACACAATGGCGGGATCTCAAAGCGCTGGAACAGGGTGGGACCCACCAGCCACCAATCGACGTCGCTGGAGACAGAAGGAGAGCTCGGCTTCTCGGCATTCCAATCAAGAAAATCAAGGGAAGGCCTCGAAAGTGTGCGGAAGGATGTGCCACGACACAGCGTACAGAGCGTAGATTGGCACGCCAAGCTGCTGGGTTACCACCAATTCAGAGGGGACGTCCACGCCTGCGCGAACTGCCTCAAGTCGAGGTAGCCCAGACATCTCGGGTCATCAGCAAGCCCTCTGGTGACGGTAAGCGTCGCGGCCGGCCAAAGCTTTTCTTCGGCGGTGGTCGTTCAACGCAGATGCAGCGGCAGAGGGAAAGGAGAGAGGCTGCTGGGCTCCCCAAGAGGCCTACTGGGCGTCCTCCGGGAGCTAAATTTGTCCAGGATCTCAACAAGCCACCTTCTCGACTAGGCCGGCCCAAACAGGCGCAGCAGCATAATCTTGCGGCGACCTCGGCCGATGAAGCAGTAGCGCATCCGTCCCTCGTCTTCAGTGATCCGATGCTCGTCCCCACAGACTCGCGCTGTGAGTAGACTGTTTTCGCTTTGAGATACGAGCTTCGCTCTCTGGTTTACTGACGGACACGGTCGCTCGCATCTGCACCTTTCGACTTGCAGTCACACAGTCGGCATCCTTTCACCGCATCGCTCCTGATACACCCGAGCAGGGCGGTCAGATCCCTCACCTGCACCGTCGTTCGCTCCAGCTTCCTTGTAGGAGTTGTAGCGAGCCAGCGGACCTCTCCATGACAGAACGAGGAGACATGGTCAAGAGTCCAGGAGCGCCGGAAGCAGTAGTGGTGCGTCACCCACCATGCTCCTCACGACGATGAGAAGATTCTGACGCTGCACGAAAGATTCGCGCAGCTTTTGGCCCGAGGCAAAGCGCCACTGAATCCAAAGCTTCCACTAGCTGCTGAAAAGCTCGCGTTGCTGCCCGAGAGTCTCCACGAGAAGGCTTCCAAGCGCAGTTGGGGCGGCCTCTCGCTCTCGAGGCTCAACGAACATAGGAAATGGCTTCGAGACCACGGCCAGGCTCATCTGTTGAATGTCATCATGCCTCTTCCCAAACCTGGTCCACCCAAACCAAGGTCAAAACTGCTGCTGGGCGAAGGAACGCCACAAACGAAATCGAAGCACCGTCGGATCCTGAGGTCTCTTGGCGTGGACAAAGATCTGATTTGGGAGGCTGTGCCGGGGAACAAGAGCAAAGCGAAGTCACTCGGCTGCCGCCGTGGAGAACCTTGCACTCTTGCGAAGACAACACTGATCTTTGAGAAGCAGCGCGCAGCGACGGTGGAGAATATCAGGCTCTATGGCATCGCGGCGAGATGGAAGGGCTTTGCTGCCAAGCGATTAGAAGGCGATTTCGGTAAGAGCGCGTCTCGCCCCATTCACTCAGCTTCTGGCAGCGCGTCTGCAAGTCGTCTCAGTCACAGCGGTGAAACCGACCCACATCTTGGTCACAAGGGACACCAATCTGAGGAGCATGTCGGTTCAAGCCGTGACACCGGCGCGCCGCGAGTTGCCGAGGGCGTCACTGTGAAGACGTTTGCGTCAAGTTCATCGAATACTGACGCTACTCTGAGACGGCCAGATTTCTCAGTAGCTCGGCACTCGAGTGCACAACTTGCAACGCTGTCGCAGAGCGCATCTTCGTCAACCCACAATGGCCATGCGTCATTGCGGTCCGGTCCTTCGAGCCCGCTAGGGCAGAGTCGATTACAGGAACAGCCTCTCGGTGCAGATGACGATCGGCATGCTATCAAGGGCCTGCAGAGCACCCCAGCCGCGCAAAGAGACCGTCTCGTGCATCCAAGGGTCCACGACAAGCACCTTCAAACCTCGACACTAGGGCACACTGTCGACTTTGGTCACAGCTCAGCTCCTCCAAAAGCCGCTCATCCTCTAGACATGCTCCTTGAAGCGGCTCGCTTTGTAGAACGACGTCCGCCACCCAGATCTGCTTCATCGATCGCTCCCAGTGGCTATCAGAATGAGGGAACAAAGCGCCCTGCGTCGATCAGCTCTTCGTCGCGCCACGTGTCAAATTGACGTCGCCGAAGAATCTCGCCGAGCATCATCCTGCTCGTCTTGTCCTTCTACGAAGTGCCGACAATGTTCTCAATGAATGGCATGACTTGCGCGTTGCTGCGTGTGCTGACATCGCCCCGTGTGGGACCTCACTCGCGTGCAGGAATTGCAAATGCATGAATGCTCTGGAGCGGCTCCCAACTTAGCCGAGTATCTATGTGCTTTTCGGTCGATGCGTCACGCAGCCATGATTATGGCTACCTTCTTGCCAACGCCAGGATCCCTTATGCCGATAGCTAACGGCAACACGCTACAATAGTGTCTCTCCAAGAGCGCTTCGGATGAGGCTGCAGCCGATCGCGATCGTCTGTTTTGCGTGATCCGCCATGAGCGTTGGGTTAACTTCCATTACTGCAAGTGAGCAAGGCCCAAGGCGTAAGCAAAGCTAGCCAGCAAGAAGCCTCAGGATAGGTATCGCACGAGCACAAGCGTGTGCTAAGCGAGACTCACAGTCCATTGCTACGAGCGAGCCGGTCTCGTAGAGTGCTTCGCAAATGTAATGCCCTTCACGGAATGTCAAGCCTCCTCGCACCTGCATGCCACCGGCAAAGGCAAAGAAAGGCCAAGGACCCGAGCGCCAGTGCTTAGCAAGGCACGACAGTCTGATTCCGTGCCTGGAGTATGCCAAGCGGGAACAAGAACTCACAGGGGTACCGGTACTGGGCGCAACAGACGGATCCAAAGCGTCCACGTCGAAACTCAGGTGGATGGGCCTCTCGCGTGATGAACCGCCATTGACGTGGTCCAGCGCCATTTCAACGACCTGCTCAGACAGGTGCGTAGAGTGTGTCAGCAGAGAGCCAGACAATGCTCAGCAGCCGCGCACCCTGAAGCCCAATTCAACGCAGCTCGACTACAGCGCCTTGCTCCAGCAGCATCACGCTAGCCCTTTTCACTCACCTTTCCGATACCGTACCTGTCTACCTCGTGCATGCTGAAACACTTGATCCCGTTCTCCTTCAGGATCTTCCTCTCGCCGCTGTCGATATCTCTGAGTCCGATGTATACCAGACTGTCGGCTTTGAGCACCGGCTCCTTGGGCACCCAGCTACTAAAGGGCTCCACGTCTGTGCCCTTTAGTCCGAGCAGGAAGGAGACTGGGCAGCCGTGAAGGTTGCCAGAAGGCGTTGTGTCGGGTGTGTTGATATCTGCGTGCGCATCTATCCAGATCAGGGCTGCATTAGGGTGCGCCGAGAGCGAGCCGGTCACCGTACCCAGAGCCTGCAGGGTGAAGACGTCGAGCGTGATCAACATACAGGCTTTCAGTTTACCGCAAATTGGCAGCGCATGGGCTTAAATACATGCTAGCGCTCCCGAATTCAATCGCATCCACTCACAAGACTGTGGTCACCACCAAGGGTGAGAGGCAGCCTGCCCTCCTTGGCGTGCTTGCCAACCACTTGACTGACGCGCTTGTTGACCTCGCTGACGCTCCTAGGGTTCTTCATAGTCCCGATATCCTTGTCCTCTCCGCTTTCGAGAATACTGTTGATGTCCTCAAACTGCTGGTGCCCTTCAAAAGAGACGTCCCAGGACAATTCTTGAAGCTGAGAGATGAGACCTGCATCGATCAGACTGTTGGGCCCGGTGTCTACGCCTCGACGCCCTTGCCCACCGCTGAATGGACAGCCGATGATGGACAGAGAGCGTGACTTGAGGTAGCGTTGTCTGATCTCGGACATGATTGGGGGCTGTTTGAAAGCAGACAGGGAGATGTGTTCCTGGGTGTATGCGGCTGTCTTGGCCTGCTCCTAGGAGTGAGCAGTCCGCTAGCTATGGGAAGCTCAAGGGTTGGAACGAGTCAGTCTTGAGTTGAAAGGGCAGATGGGCTGCTGTTGTGCGCGCAATGGACTGACTTGATCGTACAGCAAGTCGAGTGTGACCCGTCGTGGACGCTGGTGTGATGAGCGCAAGGTTGAGTGTAGGTGCGGTCAGAAGAGAGCCCCACCGGCAAGTCGCGATTTGGGGCTTGCTGAGGCTCGCAACCAACACCTTCAGCAAGCTGCTGCTGCGAATCTCGTCACGCAGCTGATGGAGCTTCTTCGGTCCGCCGCGGTTCCTTGCATGCAGC